CTAAACGGAGGAAAAGAAAAAGAAAGAAAGAAAGAAAGAAAGAAAGAAAGAAAGAAAAAGAAAGAAAGAAAAGAAAGAAAGAAAGAAAAACAAAGAAAGAAAGAAAGAAAAAGAATGAAAGGAAAGAAGCAAGAAAGAAAAGAAAGGAAAGGAAGAGGAAAGAAGTAAAGAAAGAAAGAAAGAAAGAAAGTTTTTAAAAAGAAAAAAAGAAGTAAAATGAAAAAAGAATGAAAGAAAGAAGAAAAGAAGAAGAAAGAAAGAAAGAAAGAAAAAAGAAAGAAAGAAAGAAAGAAAGAATGAAAGAAAGAAAGAAAGAATGAAATATTGAGGTGGAAAGTGTAGAAAAAAGAAAGAGAGAACTAACACGGGAGGAAGAGTAGAAATGCAAGAAAAAGAAATAATAAGGAGGAGGAGGATGGGAAAGAAAGAAAGAAAGAAAGAAAGAAAAGAAAGAAAGAAAGAAAGAAAGTTCAAAAGAAGTAATAAGGAGGAAGATGGAAGAAAGAAAGAAGAAAAAAAAGCTATGAAAGAAAGAAAAGAAAGAAAGAAAGAAAGAAAGAAAGAAAGAAAGAAAAAGAAAGAAAGAAAGAAAGAATGAAAGATTGAAAGAAAGTGAAAGAAAAGAAAGAAAGATTGAAGTGGAGAAGAGTAGTAAAAAGAAAGAAAGAACAACACGGAAGGATGGAAGAAAGTAGTAATGAAAGAAAGAAAGAAATAAGAAAGAAGGAGGAGGTGAAAGAAAAAAAAAAAGAAAGAAAGAAAGAAAGAAAGAAAAGAAAAGACAAGAAAGTTCTTCCCAAAGAGGAGATGAAAGAAAGAAAGAAAAGAAAGAAAGAAAGAAAGAAAGAAAAGAAGGTTGACAGTGAAATAAAAAAAAATGAAAAGAAAAGAAAAAGAAAGAAAGAATAGAATGAAAACAAAGAAAGAAAGAAAACATTAACGTGGAGGTTGAGGTAAAAGAAAAGAAAAAAAAAAAAAAAAAGAAATAAACAAACAAGTAACACAGAGAAGAATGTAAAAGAAATAGAAAAAGAACTTTCCCAAAAGGGAAAAAAAAAGAACGAAATCATGTGACAAAACAAAGAAAGCGGGAAAGAAAGAATGTATTTCATTTCCCGCTATTTAATCGGAAAGATAAACTATACTGAGCCACCATACAGTTATAAGAGAGTATAAGGCAAGTAAAGAAAGAAAGAAATAGAAAACATGAGATCACCATTATAGACTCGAGAAATCCAAAAAGAATTACACACATTGTCAACACGACTATTATTTGTCAATTTATCACTAGCGTATTGATGTAAGAGACTCTCCTTACTTTAAGCTAAAGAGATTTTCTTTTCTTTTTTTTATGACTGTTCTGCTTAGATTTGATTTCCACAGATGCTTAGCAGCAGTGCCACGGAAGAAGAAAAATGAGAAAAGAAAAAAAGCGTCGAAATAATAGCAAAATGAATTTGTCTACAAGTGGATGCTGAGTGAAAAACAGTGAAAGAAAGCGGCCATTTCGACCATACTGACATCCACCTTTGTTTGTTGCTTGTATATTGGGAAAAAAAAAACATTAGTAAAATTATATGTTTGTGTCTGTGTGAATGAGCGTGATTGCGGGGCTGTATTATACCAATATTTAAGCTCATATCTATCTATCTATCTATATCTATCTATCTATCTATCTTATCTATCTATCTATTTCATTAATCTATCTATCTATCTATGTATCTATCTATCTTATCTATCCATCTTTTTCCATTATCTATCTACCTATCTATGTTTATTATCTATCTATCTATCGATCTATTATTATCTTGTATTTATCTATCTACAAATCTTTGTTTATCTATCTATTCATTCATCTATCTATCTATCTATCTATCTATCTATGTTTATTATCTATCTATCTATCTATCTATCTATCTAGTTATTTATCGTTCTATGCATTAGATTCATTCATCTACATATCTATCTATCTATCTATCTATCTATAATTCTATCCATTCATCTATCTATTCATCTATCTAATATTATCTATCTATCTAATCTAAAAATCTATGTTTCTCATCCATCTATCTATTCATTCAAATATCTATCAGAATATCTATCTATCTATAATTCTATATCATCTAGTCTATTTATCTATCTATTCATCTATCTATCTATCTATCTATCTATCTATCTATCTTATCTATCCATCTTTATTCATTCATCTATTCATCTATTTATTATCAGTATTCATCTATTATTCATCATCTATTCATTCATATCATCATCTATTTATGTTGTATATCATTCATCTATCTATCTATCATCTATATTATTCATTATCTATCTATCTTTCATCTATCTATTTCCTTGTTTATCTATTCATCTCATTATCTATCTATCTATCTATCATTCATCATCTATCTATCTATCTATCTATTCATCTATCTATTTATCTATCTATCTATCATATATTATCTATCTATCTCAGTCTATTCATTCATTCATTCATTCATCTATCTATCTATTCATCTATCTATCTATTCATTCATCTATTCATCTATCTATCTATCTATAATTCAGAATCATTCATCTATCTATCTATCTATCTATCTATCTATTCATCATTCATCTATAATCTATCTCATCTTATCTATCTATTCATTCATCTATCTATCTATCTATCTATCATTATCTATCTATAATATATATCTATCTATTCATATCATCTATCTAAATATCTATCTATCCATCTTATTTTATTTATCATCATCTATTATTCATCTATCTATTATTTATTCAATCTATCTATTATCTATTCATCTATCTATCTATAGATTATTATTCTATGTATTCATCATTCATATTATCTATCTATATATATATCCATTCTATGATATTCATCTATCTATTCATTATATCATTCATCTATCTATCTATCTTATCTATCCATTTTTATCTATTATCTAAAATGATATCTATGTTTCTATCATCTATCTATCATCTATCTATTATCTATCTATCTATCTATCTATATCTATTTAAAATAAATTTATCTATCTATCTCATCTATGTTTATTATTCATCTATTCATCTATCTATCTATCTATCTATCTATATATATATATCTATTTTTATTATTTATTCATCATTATCTATCTATCTATCTAGAAAGAGAATAGATTATCCATTATGCTTATTAATATATTTATCCATTCATGGAGAAATTATCTTTGTTTATCTAGGATTATCTATCTATCTATCTATCTATCTATCTAAAAAATTTATCTATCTATCTCATCTTTATTTATTTATTCATTTACAATATCTATTCTATCTATCTATCTATTCATTATCTATTTATCTATGAAGTCATTCATCTATCTATCTATATTTATTATCTATCTATTACATATCTATCCATTCATCTATATATCATTATATATCTTATTTTCATCTATCTATATTTATGAAAAGGCAATTATATTATCTATTTATCTATCTTTTCATCCATCTTTTTTCATTCATCTATCTATCTATTATGATGAATAAATATATTATCTATCTATCTATTGATTTATCTTATCCTACATATCATATCTATCTATCTATCTATCTATCTATCTAATAAATCCATTATTTATCTATCTATCTATTATCTATATATTTCCTTATTCTATCTTTCATGTCTATTCAGAATATCTATCTATTCATCTATCTATCTATCATCTATTATCTATGAAATTCATCTATCTATTCATTCATTCATCTATCGATTCTATGTATCTATTATAATTCTATGTATTTAGTCATTATTCATTATATATCTATCTATAATCTATATTTATATCTATCTATTATGATATTTATTTTATCTATCTATCTATCTATCTATATCTATTCATAATAATTCATATATATCTATAATATCTATCTATCTATCTATCAATATCTATAATTATATGTACAGATCTATCTATCTATCTATCATTCAATTCATCTATCTATCTTATCTATCCATCATTTTCATTTTATCCATCTTATTCATGTTTGTTATCTATCATTCATTCATATCTATCTATCTGTATCTTATTTATATTATCTATTTTATTCTATTTGTTTGTTTATCTATAGTATTTATTATATATATATATATTTTTTATTTCATCCATCTATGTTTATTATCTATCTATTTTTTTGTTGTTTATTAATTTATCTATCTATTCAAATTTATTTTTATCTATCTACAATATATATTTTATATTTCATTCAAGATATCTATTAATATCTATATATATCTAATCTAGAATATCTATGTTTCTACAAACATTTATATATCATATGATATCTATCAAAATCATCTATCTATATATTAATGTATGTATTACATTCATCTAAAATGATAATTCAATGAATAAATTCTCATCTAGATTTTATGTATCTATTATCTATTCATTATCCATCTATATATAATTCGGTTCAATGTCCATATATTTTAAATCATAATATTATCATTCAGATTTAGAAATCATTTGGTTTTTATAAATAAATCATTCTATTCATATCTATCTAAATATATAATCTATGAAGATATCTTATCTATCCATCTTTTTATTTATATATCTATAAAATCTATGTTTATTATTAAAATAAATATTATTCATCTATCTATCTATCATTATCTATCTATCTATCTATCATTACCATTATATTGTTTCATCTATTCATCTAAATTATTCAAATCGGGGAAATCTATCTTTTTATTCATTAATATATATCTATTCATCTATCTATCTATCTATGGTATAAAATACATCCATTTAAATAGGTTTATTTAAATTATGGAAGTATTTCCAAATCATTCATTAGGATTATCTATCATTTATCTATCTATTTTAAATCATCTATCTGGTATCTATCTTTATCTATCCATCTTTTCCCCTTATATCTATCTATTTATCTATGTTTATTATTTATCTATTCATCTATCTATCTATCTATTATCTATCACATCTATCTATTTTATTTGTTTATCTATCTATTCATCTATCTATTATCTATCTATCTATCTATCTATCTTTTTCCCTTTATCTATCTATGTTTATTAATATTCATTATTATCTTTATCTATCTACACATCCATTATTATCTATCTATCTATCTCATCTATATCATATCTCTTTTCATTATTATCTATCTATCTATCTTTTTCTTATCTATTCATTCATCTATCTATCATCTATTCATCTATCTATCTATCCATCTATCTATCTATCTATTTATCTATCCCAGTCATTCATCTCTCTATTATCTATCTATCTATCTATCTATCTATCTATCTATATTTCTCATTATTTCTTATTTTCATCTATCTATTTATCTATGCTTCTTATGTATCTGTCTATTTATCTATCTTTTCCTCATCCATGGGGGATCTATCTATCTATCTATCTATCAGAGATTATCTATCTAGAAGTTCATTCATTGGATCTATTCATCATATCTATCTATCTATTCATTCATCTCATCTATCTATCTATCTATCTATCTTTTTCCCTTATCTATGATTCATCTATCTATCTATCTATCTATCTATCATTATCTATCTCTTTTCCTTATCTATCTATCTATCTATCTATTAGTCGTGCGGCCACATCAAGTTGAAACACCGGTCCGCGTACCCAAGTTTAGCAATGTGGAATCTTTTCAGTACCTAGATCGGTAGCCTCTTGGGAATACCAAGTCTTGTAAGCGTGTATGTGCGGTTGGTGTAATGTATAACTGCTCGGAGTTGTTGATTGTTAAGATCTCATCATTTTACAGTCGAAACGGCAAGATGTAACCGTAAGTTCTATGCTAACAGTTTCTTCTACCACATTTCTTGCTTGTGAAATTCTCTCCTGGCTTATTTTCTCCCAGTCAACTTTGATCTTCAAACATTCAAAACTTCTACCTTCTTAATTCTTGTACTTTTATTGCTCTCTCTCTCCTTAATAGTATTTTTTCTTCATAGTCTCTAACACTCCTTGCATCTTAGTGACGTTATTGCCTTTCTTGTGGTGAAATGATTGAAAAGAAAAAAAAGTATCTCGTGTAAACCCTTTTACCACCTGTCTTCCTAATTTCGTGTGGGGAAAAATTATAATAACATCACCAGACCTTTGACAAAAAAAAATGTTTTAAAACAGAAACCCGGTATTCCTCCGTGTCAACCGGGTAAGAGTGTGAGTTCAATACACGGTTAAAGCAGTGGAGAACTTGGAGAGGGGAATTAATAGGAGATAACTGACATCCATTAAACATGGCAGGTGGAGCTAGAACACTCTACCCCAGCGAGCAAAATAAGGGGTTAAGTTCGACATTCCAACCACCTGAAGAAGGCCGGAGCGTACAGGTTATCATTGACAATGTCACGTCCACATTTTCCGCAACTGTCAATGGTGCCTTGTCTATGTTCCGGTTTAACATGGCATGAACAAATAACTGATCCACGTCCACCCTCTGAACTTTCTTTTCTATTTAGCGCAGATCTGACATTTAATTGGTTAATCAAGACATACCAACAAGTATATTTCTTAATTCTGATCATACGTTTTCCTACACCCCATACCAAATTATTATTATTGTTGTTATTAAAACAAATCGGTAGATTTAATATTAGTTTGTATTATTTGGCCAGTAGCTCTTCTCTCTCTGGACGACGTAGACTGTCGCAACAGAAGCGCAAACTAAAAAAAAAAACACTGAAGCAAATAATGGAAACAAGGGGAATTGAAGATTTTCAACAGAGGCAACAACTAAAATCGATAGCACATATAATTCGAAGAGAAAATAATGGTATAACCAAGAAGTTGACGTCAAGAATTGATTTAAACACAAGGTTAGGAAATAAACCCAGTACTGGAAAGAGCTATAACAGTTACTGGACTAGAGAAACCTGTTTATTTCCGGTGGAAAGACAAAACGTTTTAATAGAAAGATTTTATAAATTTTAACCGAGAGTAGCACTGGATTCTCGGTCATTGAATTCGTAACGTTTCCTTATAAGGAAACAGATAATATTATCATTACTTCAGTTGATTATTTTTTATTATTCAACATGTAAATTATTTGAACACCAACAATATAAGAAATATTAAGAACAAATATACTAGGTCGGTCAGAAAGTCCTGACTCACTTAGGAATCGAAAAGAAAACGACAATATTTTATGAAGCAGAACCAACATTAGGTTAGGTTGTTGCCAGCAGTTAGACAGCGTGTACGACAAACTAAAAAAGGAGCTTCCTGCTTCGATCAATCGATAAGGCTTTGTTTCAGCAAGATAATACGACGGTACACACTGCCAGGTTGACTAAAGAGAAGTTCAAACAGATGGACGATGTTGAGATTCTTTCACATTCACTATTCAGTCCCGATGCTGCTCCGAATGACTATGGCCTTATTCCGCTCAATAGCACACTTCCTCCGCGACCAGCAATTCAACGCTTTTGATGAAATGAAGCAAGTTTTATTTACATTATTCGGACTATTGTCCTCATCTTTGTCATCATATTTATTACAACATTGCGTAAACTTAAGGAATCAGCACATATGCTAAGCCACAAAAATTTTCTGAGCCAACCAAGCATAGAAATGAATACAATATGGGAACCAGTAATAAGTAGTGCCAGAGAAAAGCGATAATAACAGCAAAAATTGCAATATTAAAAAAAAATTGTTGCTGAAGACATTAGGTTTATAATACCCAGAAATCCATACACAGATGTCCTCAAGGACACATTGGGTAAAGGTGTTATTTAGATCCAGTGACAGGACCCAAAGAGTGTGAGTTCAATACCCGGTTAAGGCACTGGAGAACTTTCAGAGGAAAATTAACAGAAGATAACTGATAAATGACATACTGACATCATTTAAACCTGGAACTAGAACAGTCTAGCCCAGTGAGCGAAATAAAGGGTTCAGTTCGACATTCCAACCACCTGAAGAAGGCCGAAACTTTGTAATAAATATGGCGACAAAGATGAGGACAATAGCCCGAATAATGTAAATAGTGTACATAATACCTCATCTCAGAAATATACACAGATACTGAAGGGCCGAAACTTTGTAATAAATATGGCGACAAATATGAGGACAATAGTCCGAATAATGTAAATAGTGTACATAATACCTCATCTCAGAAATATAAACGGGAGAACTTGGAGAGGTGAATTAACAGAAGATAACTGATAACTGACATCCGTTAGACATGGCACGTGGAACTAGAACAGTGTAACCCAGTGAGCGAAATAAAGGGTTAAATTCGACATTCCGACCACCTGAAGAAGGCCGGAGCGTACAACGGCCGAAACGTTGTAATAAATATAGCGAGAAAGATGAGGTCAATTGTCCGAATAATGTAAATAAGGTACATCATGCCTCATCTCAGAAATATAGACAGTTACTGAAGAAGGCCGAAACGTACAACGGCCGAAACGTTTTAATAAACATGACGACAAAGATGAAGACAATAGTCCGAATAATGTAAATAGTGTACATAATACCTCATCTCAGAAATATAGACAGATACTGAAGAAGGCCGAGAGCGTAGAACGGCCGAAACGTTCTTATAAATATGGCGACAAAGATGAGGTCAATAGTCCGAATAATGTAAATAGTGTATATAATACCTCATCTCAGAAATATAGACAGATACTAAATAGCCGAAACGTTGTAATAAATATGGCGACAAAGATGAGGTCAATAGTCCGAATAATGTAAATAAGGTACATAATACCTCATCTCAGAAATATAGACAGATACTGAAGGAAGCTTGTTTACAGATTTTCTTTAAAAGCCAACGAACTGGTATCTGGGACAATTTCGGGTGCTGGCAGGTTCCCTGGTAGAAGATAGTCGAGAATGATGGGCTTTATTTTGAATAAAAATATGTTGGTATATAAAATGTTGTTTTCTTTCGGCTTCTTAAATGAGCCAGGACTTTCTGGCCAACCTAATATTAATTAAAAATCTGACTAATGTGCTTATCTTCGTTGTTAATGTCACAACGTTCCGGTCATTGAACCGTCCGCATTATGCAGGTATCTCCCCAAGTAAGCTTTAGAGAATTTCAAACAGAACGCCTTATTTAATCAACAAGTGGAGGGGACACTGTTCTCGTTCCTCTGACCATGCCCAGGGATATCACGTCTTGCTCTTTATTTTTTCTTTTCTTTTTTCTTTTTTTTTTTTTTTTTTTTTTTTTTTTAGAACTGCTCAGTTATTACACCGCCTGTTTTTACTGAGCCTCAGTCTCTGTAACTCAGCCTACGGGTTGAACTCACAATTGCTATTTCCTTAGGTTAGTTAAGATTCTTATCAAAGGGAAAGAAAAAGAGTCGGAAATCCATCGTAAAATATCGCTCTTAAACTAAGAGGTTGTCCTAAATTCCAACAATGAATTTAGCTCCTCAAGATAGGAGTTGATAGGGTTAACTTGTAGCCGTGCCATTGTTATCCCCCCCACCCCGCTGCATATCTTCCTTGATCCAGGTGCTCTTGCCAAGCACTGGATAATATTCTTCCTGATATAGGGGGATCAATAAAAAGACATGTATCCTGGCAGCATGTATTCTTGACATTAACGTCGCAGTCTGTTATCACAAATTAAACATCTTTATGTCCCTATCTTCTTTTTGTGGCCATCAACGAAGTTTTGGCTGTTTAGGGCAAGCAATGGAGGGTAAAATAGAAATAATAATAAATTTGGAGACAGAAAAAAAAAAGGATATATTAAAGATGGGAGCAAAGCGAAGAGGAAGAACACCTTGCGAATGACGTAGCGAAAGAGAAGAAGGAAAGAAAAACGGGAGAGAAAGTGTAATGGAATTAGAGAGAGACATGAAGAAAGAGTGAGTGATGAGAAGAACAAAAAGAAATGCGCCACTTGATAGGAATGCAAAGACAAAGAAGGGAAGTGGACGCAATGGAGACGGAAATAATAAAAGTCTTCGTAATTGAATAGCTGGAGCATAGGA